CAAAAAAAAAAAAAAAAAAACAAGAGAAAGAAAACTTGGCAAATGGCAGCTAAGAACAGCTTAACTCCAGTCCCAGAGCATCTTATGCTTGCTTCTGTCCTCTACAAGCACTGCACACACAAAGTGCACATACATAGGTGCAGGCAAAACACCCAATACCCATACATATTGAAACAACAGAACAAAACCGCTTTTGGAGGGCTGGGTGAGATGGCTCATCTTGTAGAGGAGCTTTCCACAAGGCCTGATGATTTGGATGCCGGGGTCTCACATGGAAAGAACCAGGTCTCACAAGTTGTCCTCTGACCTTCACACACACCTTTGTTTCATCCAAATACGGAATAATTTTAAAAAGAACTTTTAAGAAATAGCTTAATGGGTTAGGTATAGTGACACAGGTCTATAATTGGAACTAAGGAGGTTGAGGCAGAATGATTGAAAATTGAAGACCTGTATAGGTTACAGAGTGAGTTTGAGACCAGTCTGGGAAACTTAGACCCAGTTTCAAGATAAATATAATAGAATCTGGGCATGGTAGTATATGCCTTTAATCCCAGCATTCAGGAGGCAAAGGCAGGCAGATCTTTGAGTTCAAAGTCAGTGTGGTTTACATAGTGAGTTCCAGGTCAGCCTGGTCTACACAGTGAGACCCTATCTCAAAGCAATATTAACATTAAAAAAACAAAATAACAACAACAATAAACACAAAAAGGCCCCCAAAAGCAGATTAAGCTGTGTGGTAGAGGGCTCTCCTACCAACACCCAAGGCTATAGGTTCATTCCCTACTGTACTGAAAAAGGAAAAAAGAAAAGGCTGGCGGTATATTAATGTAGTTTAGCGATAGGGCACTTGTCTGGCAAATGCAAAGTCCTAAGTTCAAGCCACAGTGCTGCCTCCCAAACGTTTAAGGTAAAATTTTAGGTTTTAATATTCACCTTAGAATATATTAGACTTTATATGACTTAATATCTGTAAATAAGACATAGGTTTCTTGTGTTTTCTATGAGACAAGTTAAAAGGAAGTGGTTTTCTCTTAGCTTTAAAAAGCACTGGTGGTTATTTGAATTTTTTTTAATTTTCAACTTTTTTGTTGCTGATAACTTGGGCTTTAGAATATGAGGTGGTAGCTTGCTCGATAACTTAGATATTAAAATGTTAGTGATGATGTTTTATGTCAGTAAAACCAAAAGGCTCAAGATTAACATATTCAAAGATCTGTAATATGGCTTAAGTCATTTATTTCCAGTGTAATTTTAGGTTTTCTTTACTAAACAACTATGTATTGAAGAATGAAATAGGGAACCGATTCTCTTCCTTTCAATCTTGAGTGCAGTAAGCTTATTTTTATAACTTTGTTTCCTTTCTAATAATTGACACCTTATTTGTATTTGTTTTAATTATAAAGTGTATATCAATAGATAATATTAGCTAGGAGTTGTGGGCTTTAAAGTTAGTCAGGTAGGTTCATATCTGGTTCCACCATGTATTAGATTGTGACCTTGGGCAAACTACTTACTATCTAAAAGTCTGGCTTTTATTTATGTGTTAAATGGGGGTAAGATCATTAGCTACACCGAAGAATTGTTTTGTTTTTATAATATATTTCTTGTGAAAGTGTTCTTTATTGAATGTCTATACATCATCATCTCCCCAAAATCTTAAGACTAAAACCCTGAAATGAGAGTATACTCCATTCAAGTATAAGTCTTCCACCTTTCCCTTTTTGGATTCAGTGTGAAACTGAGACAAAGGTCTTTTTACTGGGGATATTAATTATAAATCTTTTTGGGAAAGTTACTCTTTTGTTTGTTACCACACTTTTCGTACTAGATTTAATTTTGTGGTTTCCTAATGTGAATGATTTGTCAACTGGAGCCCTTTCTTCTTCCAGGTAGCTTAGAACTTGGATAAAGAAGGAAACTGACAGTTTGAATTTTTTTTAAAATACATGCAGTTGATAATCGACAACCTCAAGCAATTATATACATACAATTTTAAACTGCAGTTACCTCTTCTCCCAAATCATTCATGGATTTGGAAATAAGTAGTTTTTCTCTTAAATCATTCATGGACTTGGAAACAAGTGGCTTTAACTTTTTATTTCTTTTAAATTTTATTTTCAAATAATGGGTAGTCATAAGTGAATAGAAAGAGAAATAGAATTGTAAAGTACGTTTGAAATACATGTAGTCAGTTACTTTGTAAGATCTGAGTCTTGACAATATAAGAATACTTGTTATAGTATAGTTGTCATACATCAGAATTTTATGTTAAAAAGAAACAAACAATGGGGTGCTGGTAGCACATGCCTTTAATCCAGAGGTTCTGAGTTCAATTCCAAGCAACCGCTTGTTGGCTCACAACTATCTATAATGAGATCTGGTGCCCTCTTCTGGCATGCAGGCAGAACACTGTATACATAATAAATAAATAAGAAAGAAAGAAAGAAAGAAAGAAAGAAGTCTGGGGATTTAACTCAGTGGTAGAGTCCTGGCTTTGGGTTCAGTCCCCAGCACTGAAAAAAAAAAAAGTCAAACAATTTTGTCTAACCTCTAATGGAACAAGATAAAATGAGATCAATACATATATCAATACAATCAATACAAAATATCATCACTTTGTTTTTTAAGATTTATTTTTATTGTTTTTACTTATGTGTATGTTCCTGTATGTGGGTATGTACATGTGAGTGCAGATGCCCATGGAGACCAGAGGTGTAGGACCCCCTGGAGCTTTAGTTGCCTGACATATGGGTATAGGAGGGGAGCAAAACTTGGGACCTATGCAAGAGTGGTAGACATTGTTACTGCTGAGCCATCTCTAGCCCCTGAGTTTTTAAAACTGAGGATATATAAAAATCAGATGTGCACATCTTCACCTTTGGAGGAGTTCATAAGAGCCTTGCTAACAGTAGTAGTTACATCCTAGAGAGGGAAATGTTTTTTTTTTTTTGTTGTTGTTGTTGTTGTTTTTGTTTTTTGAGACAGGGTTTCTCTGTGGCTTTGGAGGCTGTCCTGGAACTAGCTCTTGTAGACCAGGCTGTACTCGAGATCCGCCTGCCTCTGGAGTGCTGGGATTAAAGGCGTGCACCACCACAAGCCCAGCTGGGAAATATGTTTTATTCCATGCTTTTTTGTACAATTTGTTTTTCAGAAATCATTTTTGTGTTTTACATTTAAAAATAAATAAAAATTTTAGTCCATGCCTTTAGTCCCTGCATATGGGAGGCAGACACAGGCAGACCTCTGCGTATTTGAGGCCGGCCTGGTCTACAAAGCAAGTTCTAGCACATCCAGGGCTACTTGGTGAGAACCTGTCTCAAAAGAAAATAAAAGATGCCAGAAGATACCAGACTGGTGGCACACACCTTTAATCCCAGCACTTGAGATGCAGAGGCAAGGCAGATCTCTGAGTTTGAGGCTGGCCTGGTCTACAGGGTGAGTTCCAGGACAGCCAGGGCTACATAGTGAAACTTTGTCTCAGAAAACAAAATAAAACAAACAAACAGAATAAACAAAATAAACAGCTGCCACCACCACCACCACAATAAAAAAAAATAAAAACAAAAACAGAGAAAAGATGCCAGAACCTACAGAAAATTACTTGTTTAATCATTGTTTAGTTATGAATGGGTATCATTGTATCCAATTTACATCTGAAAAGATTAAGTTCCAGAGTAGTTAAATAAGTTTCTTAAAATCCAGAGGTAGTGATTGGCAGAGCTGGGATGCAGTCTGAGTCTGCCTCCCAAGTTTCGGCTGCTCTTGGCCAGTTTGGCTGTTGAGCAGGAGACCTCCTCCTTCCTGTGCTTGCACTTGCTCCCGGGATGACCTTACACCTGTGTCATGGAATGAAGAGTTCTGATAAAACCAGTTTGCTTCACTTTACCACATTTTTGATACCTGCTTATAGTAAAAATTAAAATGAGTTTATTTTTTTTGTCTTATTTATGATTTTTTGTTTTATCTCCTCCCTCCCCAGAACTTTATGAAATCTTTCTTTCAAGAGCAAGAGAACGGTGGAAAAGCTTCAGTGAAACAAGTTCTGATAATGACATTGAAGGTATGAGGGTTTCCAAATTCAGTTATTGAATATACTATGGGATTTTATATCATGTACCAGATTTAAGTACGGTACCTCATTTCAGTAGATGATAGTATTCTGAGTTTCGGAATGGGAACAGGCTTAGAGTAGTTAGTGAGTTAGAAGCAACAGGCTGAGCTACATACAAATCAGGTCTATTTGCTCCAATCCCAGGATTCACATCACAGCCAAGAGGCTAGTGGGATGAATCAAGTATTTTCAGACAATCTGTTAATAAAGATGAATGTTCTTTACTCTCTCTGAACTCCTCTTTCTCCATCCACTAACCTTAGTCCCTGATAAATTACATATAATTCTGACTATGATTTACCTTACTCTTTGTTCATTTAATTCATCCATAACTCCCACCCTTACCTATGCCTTGTCAATTAGTTTCCATAATTATTTAAGAATTTTTCCTTGTATCAATTTATTAAATTTATTTAATTATATTTTGCACTTTAATAATGAGGAATCATTTTCCTAATCTGTCACTTTTCTTTTTGTCTTGTTTTCTTTAGATAGGTTCTCATTCAGTTCAGTCTGGCCTTGAATTTACTGTGAAGTTTAGGATGGCACTGAACTTCTGGTGTTCTGCCTCTACCTCCCGAGTTCTAGGATTATAGGTGTGAACCACTATGTCCTGTTTATGTGGTGGACATCCGTTGGTGCTGGGGACTGAACTCAGGCCTTCATATATGCTGAGCATAAATTCTACCAGCTAAGCTACGTTTCTCACCACCTTTTCTTGTTTTGTATTTATAGCTGTGTAGCAAGCAAACTCACTAGACATGGTGGTGCACACCTTTAATCCCAGTAAAGGCAGGCAGATCTCTGTAAGTTCAAGGCCAGCCTGGTCTACAAAGCAAGTTCCAGAATAGCCAGGGCTGTTATACAGAGAAACCCTGTCTTGAAAAATCCAGATAAATAAATTAATAAATGTAAGTTCAAAAGAAAGCAAACTATTCTCTTGCCTATAAGTAAAACTCTAAAATGTATCTTTCAATAAAGAAATAGCACTTATATTATAATGGTTGTCTGTGAGCAACCATTTTGTAAAATGCTGTTTTCGGTAGTGACATTAGGAAAGAGAACTATTATTAAGTAATCAGAGAGAAGACTTGACTTTGAGGGCCATGAAAGAATCATTTTGAGATCAATTAGCTATCATAGCTATCGGTGGAGAATGCAAATAACAAAGGAAGTGAAGAAGCAGAGCGGTAGTGGTGCATGCTTTTAGTCACAGCACTTGGGAGGCACAGGCAGGTGGATCTCGGTGACTTTGAGGCCATCCTGGTCTCTAGAGTGAGTTCCAGGACAGGCTCCAAAGCAATACAGAGAAAAACCCTGTCTTGAAAAACCAAAATAAATAAATAAATAAATAAAAATCACAAGTTGAAAAACAGCTAGATAAGATGCATGCCTTTTAATGCCAGCACTTGAGAAGCTGAGGCAAGAAGATTGCTATGAGTTTGAGGCTAGCCTGTTGACCGTAGTGAGGTCCAGGACAGCTGGAACTACATAGTGAGACCTGTCTCAGAAACAAACAAAAGAAAACAATGCTGGGGATGGGGGAAGAGGCTAAGTTCTAAGTTCTAGCAATACTATTCAGTGTTCCTTGCACATTCTTGATTATTCAACTTTTCTATTTATGTTAACATATAGGCAATGCGTTGACCACTGTTTAAATTTTATCTGATTGGTAATGCAGGGATATCTGTTGCTGACCGAGAGGCTAGTCTGGAATTAATTAAGTTGGACATATCCCGTACATTTCCATCTCTCTACATCTTTCAGAAGGTGAGGTTTTCTAGTCAGTTTTTAACTGCTATTTTATTTTATTCTTTCAATATTATGAGGGGCAAATTCTGTAAATCCACTAGTACTCCATTTTATTTTATTTATTTTTTTGAGACAGAGTCTCAGTATGTAACCCTGGCTGGCCTGAAATTCCCTATATAGACCAGGCTGGTTTAAAAGTCACAGAGTTCCACCTGCCTATATTTTCCAAGTTCTGGGATTAAAGACATGAGTTACCCAGTCAAGCCATGTATCACTATTTCTATAATATTTATTTGTATTTTATGTACATTGGTGTTTTGCCCACATGTATGTCTATGTAAGGGTATTAGATCTCCTGGAACTACAGTTATAGACAGTTGTGAGCTGCCATGTTGGTGCTGGGAATTGAACCCCAGTCCTCTGGAAGAGCAGCCAGTGCTCTTAACCATTGAGCCATCTCTCCAGCCCCCAGTTACTATTTTTAAAAGTAAAAAATATTTTAGGGGGCTGGAGAGATGGCTTAGAGGTTAAGAACTCTGGTTGTTCTTCTGGTCCTGAGTTCAATTCCCAGCATCCACATGGTAGATCCCAGTCATCTGTAATGAGATCTGGTGTACAAGCATTCGTGCAGGCTGAACACTGTATACATAATAATAAATCTTTTTAAAAAAAAAAAAGAAAAGAAAAATGTTTTAAAAATTTGAAAAGAGGCTAGGTGTGGTGGTAGGTGACTTTAATTCCATAAGTAGATCTTTGAGGTTGAGGCCAACCCACAGCTACATAGTGACACCTTGCTTTTATTAAAACACAAGAGGGATGGTGGTGGCACACGCCTTTAAACCCAGGAGGCAGAGACAGGCCTATCTCAGTGAGTTCAAGGCCAGCCTGGTCTACAAATCGAGTTCCAGGACAGCCAGGACTGTTACCCAGAGAAACCCTGTCTCAGAAAAAAATAAACAAAAAACCCACAAAACAAAAAAAGTCAAAAGAAACTTGGTTTTTGTTTTTATCAGGAGTGGAGAAATGGCTCCATGGTAAAGAGCACCTATTGCTCTTAAGGAGGATCTGTGTTCAGTTCCTAGCTTACAACCAACCATCCCTAACTCCAGTTCCAGGGCATCTAACCCCCTCTTCTGACCTCCATGGCACCAGGAACATACATGCAGATAAAACACTCATATACATAAAATAAATAAATTTTAAAAAATTAAAAATAATTTGTGTTTATATAAAAATGCAAAACTAACAAAAAATTAAGGAAGTTGTTTTCTATGAAATAAAACATATTGTACTTACCATAGCACATACTTGGTATGTGGTAGGTGTTAAGTATTCTGGCGACTGTACTGGCCTGTCTTTGGGGTTCCGGCAGGAAACATCCTCAGCTGCAGCCACTAAGAACACCACCTGTGCACATTCACTATGTTCCCCCTGCCCAACTCCCATCCTTCTTTTCTCTTCCCTCCTTCCCTCCTTCCCTCCTTCCCTCCTTCCCTCCTTCCCTCCTTCCCTCCCTCCCTCCCTCTCTCTTCTCTCTCTCCCCCTCTTTCCTCTCTCCTGCTCCTTCTATCTCCTGAGGCTGGTCCCCCCCCCCCCCCTTTTTTTTTCCCTTTCCCCCACTGCTTGAACTGTGTCACATGGCGACATGGCGTCTTTCTCTTACATGCCGCTTTTCTTAAATTACAACAGTAGGCACTTACATTTCTATTATAGTGAATTTTTATATTTGAATTATTAATGGATGTACCTTACAAACTGTTAAAATATAAATACATTGGTTCCAAGTTATTTAAAATTACCACTGAACTAGAAAGAGTTTACTTTAATATTTAATTTTTACAGGAATAGCTGGCCATCTTTAATTCTTAATATTAAAATCTAAGGAAATAGTTTATGTAGAATAAAGACTGTGCTGACAGACATTTTTTAACTCTTGGTCAGTGAGCTGGCTCAACAGGTAAAGGTGTTTGCTGCCAAGCCTGACAACTTGAGTTTGATCCTAGGAACAGTGAGAACCAATTCCTGGCATGCATGTACCTATACACATGCACAGTAAATAAATAAAATGAAGAAAAAAAAAAAAAGACACTGGAGCTGGAACGCTACCCCACAGTTAGAGCAATCAGTTGCTCTTCTAGAAGACCCAGGTTTTATTCCTGGCACCTTTGTGGCAGATCACAGCCCTCTGTAAATCCAGTTCCCGGAGATTTGATTCTCTTCTAGACATCATGCACACACATTGTACACAGATAAACATGCAGCAGAACATCTATACACATACTTTTTTTTTTTTTTTTTTTTTTTTTTGGGTTTTTCGAGACAGGGCTTCTCTGTGGCATTGGAGGCTGTCCTGGAACTAGCTCTTGTAGACCAGGCTGGTCTTGAACTCACAGAGATCCACCTGCCTCTGCCTCCCGAGTGCTGGGATTGAAGGCATGCGCCACCAATGCCCGGCTATACACATACTTTTAAGTTGCTATTGATATTAAAATTACTAACACAACTCAGTATATCTGATTGGTATTTTTTTTTTTTTTAAGACAAGGTCTTACTGTGTAATCTCAGTTGTCTTGGAACTCACTATGTAGATCACATTGACCTCAAACTCATAGTGATACCCCTGCTTTGCTGGGATTAAAGCTGTGTGCATCATGCCTGCCCTTTTATTTTTTTCTGAAATTATACAAAGTGAAATGGGCTCAATATAAGAACATGTGCATGTGGAGATATCTTGTTTGTGCAAATAAAGTGTGGAGCTTGCCACTAGCTAACAGACAGACAGGAAGTGAGTTGGCTGGGTGGAGACAGGAAGTGAGAGAACTGGGGAGAGAAAGGATTATAGGTGGGAGTAAACAGGAACACTTTTCAGTGGGGAAGTTGACAAGGTAAGGTGTGGCTGTGGCTTGCTCCTTCATCTCTCTGATATTTGAGCTTTTGCCCCTGTGTCTGACTCTGGGCTTTTATTATTAAGACCTATTAGAACTTGAGATACATGTGCGTGCATGTGCAAGGCCCTAGTTTCAATCCTCATGTGTATATGAATAAAATAGAAAAAAATTTAAATAGAAAAATAATCTGTATTTATCATATTCTAGAAGTGTTTAAAATTGTTTGCAAATGATAAAAATTGCATTCAAGTGAGTATATTTGACTTATTAGTCAAGATCAAACTTTTATTAACTCTGAAAACATCTTGATAGAATGCCTTTAGGATATTTTTATAATGATTAAATATACTAAAACTGGTCATTTAGGGAATGCTACAGTTTTACAGTTTCTAATATCTCATAAGCATTAACCTAGAGATACTTACTGTTTCAAATTTTATTCTTTTCTTCTAAGGGTGGCCCATATCACGATGTTTTACATAGTATCTTAGGGGCATATACATGTTACAGACCTGATGTTGGTTATGTAAGTATTGATTTCAGTCTGATTTTTTGCATATAAACATTTTATCTATACTCATCAAGACTTCCTATGTTGTGTTAGATATTTATAGACACATTACTTGTAGCTCTGTCTTTTGTGCTTATTAGTTTATCTGAAGTGGAAACTTTCCATCTCTTACCAACTGTTGAGAATAAACTGGCTGCATGTTAACACCTCTGCTCTCAGTGATGTGCTTTGACTTGTCTCCCTAACCGTTTTCTTTTCTGTTGCCATCCCTCTGTTGAATAAATTTTCTTCATATTCTGCTAGGTTGGGGGAAGACAAGTCACCTGTCTACACAGGATAGGGAAGGAAAATTTCTTACCTTATAGATTGAACCAACTCTGCTTTTTAGCCCTACTCTTCTGCTTCAGAATGTCTCCTAGCTTTAGTTCTTGAGCCAGACAGGATTCTCTGGCTTGCTGATTATTGGCTTTTTTTCTGTAGATCTTTGTTTCAACATTTCCACTTATTTTAATTAAAATTGCTAAAATGCTGTTTATATTTATTTACACTGTTTATAACTTTTGGTATTCTGTTTGTCTTTCCAAGGTAATATTTGCATTTTCCTTTATTGCCATGTTGAATTTGGGGAAGAAACAAAAAAAATTTGAGTGTCTAGTGTTTAATTAGAAGCTATTGAACTTTCATATTCTCTTTTTTCATTTAAAGATTTGTAGATTTGTTGCCTGGTACAACTTTGTTCTGTTATACATTAATCTGCATGTTTGTTCATTCATTTAAACATATTTATGTGCGTATCATTGTTACATAACAGGCCATGTTCTAGACACTTCTAGATACTTCAGTGCATAAAGCATGGTTACATCTCTCCATGGAGCTCAAGGAGCAAACAATATACAAATAAATTGTTTATTAAAAGGTTACTATAAAGTGGTGAGGGGAAGGTACTGCAGGGTAAAGAGAGGGATTGCCAGGTCTGGTTGGAAAAAAGTGAGATTTCAGCAAGTTTTACATTCTTTTGTTAGGTATTCTTCACAAGAATTATAGAACACACTATATCCCCCCCCCCTTTTTTTGTACTTACAGTTTTTCTCTGTAACTAATTTTTTTTATAAAAGATTCGTTTTTTAACACATTTTAAAAATGCGTGCAATAAAATTTTAAAACTGAAGATTTTCTGATTAGGTTCAAATGAAATATTTTAGAATACTACCATAAATGACATCCATAAGCAACACATAATAACTTGTCCTGACCCTCAGGACGTCAACCTGGGGTAAGAGAGTTAGAGATAGGGAATGGGGATAATAGACGAAGAAAGAACGACCACAAGACAGGATTCTGATCAAGTGGCAAACTTTAGTTTTCTCAGGTTAGCTTATATAGTCAGTAGAGCAGGATATGGGGAGGGGTAGAATGGGTTGTTTGTGCACCAGGTGTTAGTGTAGGTAGGATATTAGGAATCCACAAAGAGGATGTTTGGCAGGGTAAAGAGTTCATGAGTAAGAGGTCCAGGAAGGGTTGCCTAGGTGACTGAGCCTGTGGGTGGAGGACTGGGTCAAGTTGTTTCTTTTCTTGAGCTGAGGTTCTAAGGAGCTGCTATGTAAAGGTTAATATACAACTATGTGGCCGGCCAAGCATGGCCAAGCATGGCTAAGCCCTGAGATCTTTGGCTCCCAACCATAACTAAAAGAATTAGACTTTAGAACCCCATGAAGGAACTATTTTCTTTCATTATGCACTAGAGTGATACATGATGTATGTGAATAATCTTTATGTAGCTCTACACACACACACACACACACACACACACACACACACACACACACACTGGGGCTAACCGTTAACATCAACTAATTGGTAGCATTTTTTAGTACACAGTTTTTAATGAATGTTTTAGAGCAAATTAAATGTGGTTTTATACCTTTCATTTGCACTTTTATTTGCTCTTTTCTATTTATTGGTGGTTAACATTTTGCTTCTTATATACATTTGGCACATATTTAGGTACTAGGAGTAAATTATTAACAGATACGGTTCTCTGTATTAGTTCCTATTATTGTTATAACAAATGAGTACAAATTTAGGGTCTTCAGACAGTATAGATTTGAAAGTTGTACAGTCCAGAAGCTCAGAATTGACTTCATGTTTCAGCAGGAGAGTGACAGGGCTGTGCTTTTTTTGTAGGCTCCAGGGCAGAACCCATTTTTCCACCTTCCAAAAGCTGATTCCATTATTTATTTTGCAGCATTTCTGATTTCAGTCTGACTCTCCTGCCTCCCATTTCCACTTCGGGGTCCTTTGGGTTGGTACTTCTGGGCCCATTCCAATAATCCCATCTTAGAATTAGATTTTACTTAATCATTTCCTCAAAGTGCTTTTGTAGTATCTTCACAGGTGCTAGATATGAGGACATAAACATCTTTGGGAACAGTTATTCTGCTTACTATAGTCTCTGTTTCCATAGCGCTCATATTAGAGAAAATTAAATCGACAGTTGTCATAAAATTTGCAAAAAAAAACAGAATAGAACAAAAAAAAAGTATTAAAAAGTGTGATGGCTCATACCTGTAATCCTCTCAGTACCCTGAAGCAGAGGGGTTGCAATGAGCCAGAGGCCAGCCTTGGCTATATAGTGAGTTCCAGGCCAGCTAAGCTCCAACATGAAATGCTATCCTTCTCATCCCCAAGAAAAGAAAGAATAGAACAAATCAGTGCAGTGTAGTAATATTAGTGCGTGGAAACCCATCTCTAAAGTATGTTACAAGGGGATGTAAGAATGAATTTAGTGCAAGGGAGTAATATTAGTGAGTGGGAATCCATCTGAAGTATGTTACAAGGAGATGTAAGAAGCTGGAGATAGCCGGGCAGTAGTGGTGCACACCTTTAGTCCCAGTACTCAGGAGGCAGGGACACGCAGATCTCTGTCAGTTCAAGGACCGCCAGGACTACACAGAGAAACCCTGTCTTGAAAAAGCAAAAATTAAAAACATTTTTAAAAAGAAGAGGAAGCTGGAGATGGTGATTATGGACAAACCTTTCAGAATATTTGTTTGGAAACAAGACACACCCATCATTGCAGTTACTCTCAGGGGACTCCACGAGAATGTCTATTATAGAATTCTTGACTTTGTTTTTAATTAAAGAGAGGTGTAATTGCTATAGATAACTCACTAGCCATTTTATCAAGGCCTTTCATAATGTAAATGAATCGTTTTCTAAGTGTCTTCTATTTATCCCATTATAAATGTCGTATTCTACATGGGCTATCATTTCTTTGTTTAAATAACTTTTTGTTAAGGGATTTCTTTTTTTACCATTCATTTCCTAAATTTGTGATTCCCCACAAATTCAGGCTGTTTCAAGCCCCACAACAATTCTTTCTTGGAATTTTAGTTTATTCTATAGAATTCCTTTATTCTTAGTCCTTCTTATGTTATAATGTGAAAACAGTCACTCAATTTTCATTAATGTGTAATTTTGAAAGAATGTAAACTAAGAAGAAATAATTTGTTGGTATACTGAGATAGGATTTTAGAGAAAATAAAAGCTGATTTAATTTTTTTCTGATTTTATTAAACCCTAACAAGAACAAGAAATGCAAAATTAGGGAAATTCACAACTATTATAGTTTCTTAGTAGTTGCTTTTACTGGGAAAAAAAAGAAATTGGTAAATTCTTAGTATCAGTTTATAAATTTTGAGGAGGGTAACTAAACTGTAGAATTTTTTAAATCCATTTTTATTTTCCCTTCCCTTTGAAGGTCCAAGGGATGTCCTTTATTGCAGCTGTGCTCATTCTCAATTTGGAAGAAGCAGACGCCTTCATTGCCTTTGCAAATCTCCTAAATAAGCCGTGCCAGTTGGCCTTTTTTCGGGTGGATCATAGCATGGTATGAACATTTAGAATAGACTGTTTGGCTCAGATGTTTCTGTATTTTGAATGTCTGCTTAGAGTAAAAAACATGAGTCTAATCAAATAGATGAGGCTTTTGAGAGGGCCAAGCAGATGCCATAACAGACTGTTTAGTCTTCTTTCAGAGATCAGGCCTCAATTACAGTTTCTGAGAAAGAGCCACGAACAAAGGGGAATCAATCTCCAACATCCCAACAGCAAGGAGAGAAGGCTTGGGGCTTAAGCCATAAAAAGCTCAAGATGATAACCAAATAAAGAGAAAGCCTGGACTTGTTCAGGCCTGCCCCCAAATGGAAAACTGTAGCCCTGATCAGCCCCTAACTAGTCCTAGCCAGTTAGATCATACTAATATGATTGCTACTTGCTTAAGCCAATTGTAGATAAAATGACTTAACTGCCTTAGGACCTCCCCTTCTGCTGTGCTTAAAAGGAGCCCACATGTCTCTCTGGGTCTTCTTCCCATCTTACTTTTTGTGTGTGATGGCAGGCCTCAGCATGCTAGAATAAAAACCAAAAAACAAAACACGCTCGCTGATTGCATACATGGATGGTAGTCTTTTGTGGGACTTCTTTAAGATCCTAACAGTTTTCATTGAGTGACAATTTTAGGAAAACTTGAAGCAACTCAAAAGATCGGTAGTAAAGATTTCCCCTTCTGTAGTAGATTTTGTAATTTTATTGATTTTTTTTCTCTCTTTATAGATGTTGAAGTATTTTGCAACATTTGAAGTATTCTTTGAGGAAAACCTGTCCAAACTATTTCTTCATTTCAAGTCATACAGTCTTACACCAGATATATACTTGATAGATTGGTAAGTCATTAACAGACATAAATAACAATAAAAAGGAAATAAAGTAAAACTTTCTGTTTTTTAGGAAATATAATAAATTTGATAGATGAGAACCTTTCTCCAGGCAGTGGTAGTGCACGCCTTTAATCCCAACCCTTGGGAGACAGAGGCAGGTAGATCTCTGTGAGTTCAAGGCCAGCCTGGTCTATGGAATGAGTTCCAGGACTGGTTCCATAGCTACTTGAGAAACCATGTTTTGAAAAACAAACAAAACAACAACAAAACCAGAACCTTTCCCTTACAAATAGAAAAAGCCCCACATTTTGTAGGGATGTATTTAAAAACAGACTGGAGCCTGGCATGGTAGTGCATACCTCTAATCCCAACACAGGAACTCTGGGTTTAAGGCCAGCCTGGTCTACAAAGTGAGTTCCAGTATTACAAGGAGAAATCCCATCTCGAGAAACAAATGAAAATCATAGACTGGCTTGAAATCAGTTTCTGTTTTTAATTATAAAAGGGAATAGAAGATAACCTGTAGAAATTACCCAGTGCTTAAGAGTGCATGCTCTGTCTAGGTCAGTGACGCAGTCCTTTAAAAGAAAAAAAAAGTGCACGCCACTCTTGCAGAGAACCTGAGTTCATTTCCTGATACCTAGCTTGAGCAGCTCCACAGCCTGTAACTACAGCTCCAGAGGATCCAACACCTTCTATCTGTCTTCCTTGCCTACTGCAGTCATGTCACACACAGGCGCTCGAACACACACACACACACACACACACACACACACACACACACACACACACACACACACACACACACCTGAATTATGCATGTTTAAGTATTTTTTAAAATAAAGGAAAGAGAGAAGAATAGGGGACTGGGAAGATGGGTCAGCGTGGGAAAGCACTTGCACCACAAACCTGACAACTTGAGTTTGATCCCTAGAACCTATATAAAAATCCAGATTCAGACAGGCAGTGGTGACGCACACCCTTAATCCCAACACTTGGGAGGCAGAGATAGGTGGATCTCAGTGAGTTCAAGGCCAGCCTGGTCAACAGAGTGAGTTCCAGGGCAGCTAGGACTGTTACACAGAGACACCCTGTGTCAAAAAACAAAACAAAACAAACAAATCCAGATGCAGTGGCACATATTTCAGCATTCTAATGGCGATATGGGAGGCAGACACAAGAGAATCACCAGGAAGCTAGCTTAGAGTAGTGAGCACACAGCATCAGAAGCAAGAGAGACCCTGCCTCAACAAGGCACAAGACCAGAGCCAACTCCAGTAGTGGTCCTCTGATATCCACATAAAACCATGGCAAACATGTATATGCACAGACATGCACACACACAATAAATAAATGCTCTCTTTTTTAAAAGAGAGTATAGTAATACCTTGAAATGTAGTGAACTGTAGTGATGGATTATCTTATTTAATGCCTAGCATATACTAATATCTCATTTAAAAATAGTAGCAATTTCTTGTTTTGTTTTTCTTTTTTTTGAGACAGGGTTTGGAGACTGCTGGAGCTCACTCTGGAGACCCGGCTGGCTTCGAATTCACAGAGCTCCACCTGTCTCTGCCTCCCACGTGCTGGGATTAAAGTGTGTGCTACCTACACCCCGCACAATTTCTTTATTCTTAACACAGACAAGCTGTGTTATATATGGTAGTGTTTCTTTAATAAGATGTTTTTCAAAGTTTTATCCAAAGTTATGAAAATAAATATTATTTATTTTCTTATTTCCAGGATGTTCTGTTCTAACTTTAAGGGTTTGTGTGGTAAGCAACAGACAGTTGATTAAGTATCATTGGTGAATTTTGATAAGTGGGGAATTTAGGGGATGGAGAGATGGTACAGTGGTTAAGAACACTGGCAGCTCTCCCAGAAGATTCAGGTTCAATTTCCAGCAACCTCAAAGGTGGCTCTCAAGTGTCTGTGACTCCAATCCAAAGTTATTGGGTGCCCTCCTCTGGCCTCCTCAGGCACTGCATGAACAGACAGACATGAGCAGACAGACTCACTAATTTTAAAAAAGAAAATGTTTTTAAAAAGTGGAGATTATCAAATCGTCAACAATAAAGAGTAGTTATAAAACTTTAGTTAATTTTCAGACAAGGCTTCTAGTCCAGGCTGGCTTCAAGCTTCCTGTGTAACTGAGGATGACTTTGAAATTCTAATCTACCCTGCCTCCATGTGTTAAAGTTTCAGGCATGTGCCACCGTATTCAGTTTATCCATTTTATACTGGGAATGATACCCAGGGTATCTTGCATGCTAGGCTAGTGCTCCACCACTGAACCCAGGCTACGTATAAACTTTGGTGTAGAAAAATGAATAAGCAAATAATGACCTTTACCAAATAGGATGTCTTCCTAGTCATTTGAGCCTCTTTTCTTTCTCTTCCCTTGTGTATTATAGCTTGCTTCTCCTCTCTCTAACCTCTGTGTTCCTCTTTCTCTCTCTCCCCACCTTCCTCATTTTTCTGGTTAGTGTTCTCCCTCCTCCCTCCCTCCCCCTTCTCTCCCTCCTCCCCCTTCCCTCCCTCCCTCCCTGCCTGCCTCCCTGTTGGTTTGGTTTGTATGTGTGGTGCTGAAGATTAAACACATAGCCTTGCACATGCTAACAAGGTTCTCTAGGATTGAGCTACACCTCAAGTCTTGAGCATTCTTTATGTATCTGACACTTTTAAACACTTGATTAAGCTAAGTATAGTAGTGTTTAAATGAAGTCCCAGCCCTAGAAGAGGCAGGAGCATAAGTTATAAGTAGGAGCCTAACTACATAGTGACAACTTGTCTGTCCCCCAACCAACAATAAATAAATAAATAACAACCTCCAGGTGGTGGTGACATACACCTTCAATCCCAGCATTCGGATCTCTATGAGTTTGAGACCAGCCTGGTCTACAAGAGCTAGTTCCAGGACAGTCTCCAAAGCCACATACAGAGAAACCCTGTCTTGAAAACAAAACAACAACAACAAAAAAAACTTAAATAAATAAATAACAACCAACAATAACAAGAAAATGACTTTACTACTTTAATTTTCAAAGCAGCCCTAAAGTAGTTAATTTCAATGTCTTTAATGCTATAATGAGGAACGTAAGGCATAGCAAGACTGAATATTATGCTCAGTGTCACATAACAAAGTAGGAAATTAGAGATTCAAACTCAAGCATTTTGTTTGCAGAGTTCCATGGCTCTAAACATTACGCTATTCTACTCCCTCTGGTTTATTCCAGACTTCATCTCCATGTAAGGTTGTAAGTTTGCTTAATGTCATTACTTACTGCTTAGTTTACCACTATTCAAGTTTTGAAAAGAGACATTATAATGTATGTGTTCTCTCATTCAATTTTTTCTTTGAAACCAGTCATAAGAGCACTCACTCCTCTTTTTGTTGTTGTTGTTTGGTTGTTTTTTTTTTGTCTAGACAGGGCTTCTCTGTGTAGCCTTGGCTGTCCTGGAACTCAGTCTGTAGACCAGACTGGCCTTGAACTCACAGAGATCCACCTGCCTTTGCCTCCCAGGTGCTGGAATTAAAGTCATGAATCACCACTGTCTAGCTGTACTTGTCTTTTTATCTCTGTACCCTTCTTTTACCATAGTGATGCTTAGAGGAGTGATTAAGTCAATAAATTAAACCATTCAGTAACTGTTTCCTCCTTAACTTTAGGATCTTCACGCTATACAGCAAATCACTGCCACTTGATCTGGCTTGTCGTGTCTGGGATGTGTTTTGCAGAGATGGAGAGGAATTTTTATTTAGGACTGGATTAGGGATCCTCCGGCTATATGAAGACATACTCCTACAGATGGACTTTATTCATATAGCACAATTTCTTACCAAATTGCCAGAAGATATCACATCAGAAAAGCTTTTCAGCTGTATTGCAGCCATTCAGATGCAGAATAGCACCAAAAAATGGACTCAGGTAGAGTGACTCTTTTTTAAACTTTTAGTATTTGAAATTATCTGTTGACTTTTTTGTAAAAGTCCTGTTGTATTTTAGTCTATTGTTCCCTACAGTAATCAATAATTTACCAGAGCAGTCATGGGATTACTTTGATATGTCAGACAGATACACATTATATTAAATACCTGCTGTGAGACTGGCAAGATGGTTCAAGGGTAAAGGTTCCTGCTGCCAAGTATGATGACCTGAGTTCAATCCCTGGGTCCCAATGATTGAAGACTCCACACATGCACTATGGCACATACATACCCTGAGTCCCACATGTGGCACATGCATGCTAATTCACTCACATACCCGAGACAGATAGACAGACAGATAGATAGATAAAAGTAGAAAATGAAACAACACCGAAAAGCCCCATCTGCTGCGTACTAAAAGCTTGCAACAGAAAGAGCCTAATGTTTGATCCTAGTTTTTTGTTGTTTTGAGTCAGGGTCTCATTTAACCCAGGTTGGACTTACAGTATAGCTGACGATGACCTTTGTCTTAGTCAGAGTTATATTGCTGTAAAGAGACACCATGACCGACCATGGAAACTCTCATAAAAGAAAACATTTAATTGGGGCTTGCTTAACGGTTTCAGAAGTTTGTCTGTTACCTCATTTTGGGGAATGGTGGGGAGCAGGCAGACTGATAGCTGGGAGTTCTGCATCTGGATCTGGATCTGGATCTGTATGCATCAGGAAGAGAGAGACACTGGGCCTGGCTTGAGCTTTTGAAACCACAAAGCCTAGTGACGCACCTACTCCAACAAAGCCATTCTTCCTAATCCCTCCCAAGTATTCCCATTCCCTGATGACCAAGCATTCAAACATATGAGCCTGTAGAAGCCATTCTTATTCAAACCAGCCCAGCCTTGAACCTCTGGTCCCCCTAATCCTCTTCTGGGATTACATCATATGCAACCACATCTAGGGACCCTGGCTTTTCAGATGCTCAGTCTTGTTAGCAGACGAATATACACTGGTAAATGACATAAAGTAAACATTGCTTGCCATTTAGTCCATCCATGGATGACACAAATTCTTTTAAGTTCTTAGTTTAATTGCCCTTGAAATGAAATAGGATATTAGTCCAGCAATATCTGAGTAATTTGCAGTTGATAAAAACTGGAATCTAATTATATTCAGTAAAACTGGGCTGGGCTTTAAAAAAAAAAAAAAAAGGAGAGGTGGGGAGATGGCTCAACAAGTAAAGGTCCCTTCTGTCAAGCCTAGTGACCCGAGTTCAATCCCCAGGACCTGTGTGGCAGAACACAACCAACTCATGAAAGCTGTCTGCTGACCAAGGCATGCACATATACTCACATACACAACAAATGAATCAATAAAATGTAAAAACAAGAAAAACCAAAGGAATCAAACACAAAATTCCAAGGAAATCTGAAGCCTGAGTTGGTGGCATGTGCCTGAACTCTCAGCACTGTGGCAGCAGGAGGATCAGCAGTTCAGAATCACCCTCGGCTATGTACGAAGTTCAGAGCCAGTGTGGGCTATGTGAGACCCTGCTCAAGGAAATTTTATTGAATGGGTGGAATGAGGACTTGAGAATGGTAGTATTTGAGAAACACTTTCTGTGTTTATCGCCCATGGTTATCTAAAGTTCTTTGTTTCATGTAATTTGCAGGTCTTTGCATCTGTAACGAAGGACATTAAAGAAGGGGAAAGGAACAGCAGTCCTCCTCTGAAGAGCTAACATTTGAGCCAGGGACAAACTGAAATGCAAAAGCTAGTTTTGAGAGAAAGCTTCCTGTTTCCTATGCAGGGAGCATGGCGGGAAGTGTTGGAGAGAAGAATCAAGAGCTGGAAAACTGCTAAGCTGACGTTCCATGGCTGAAGTAGATGAAATGTGTAATTTATAGACAGTATTAACAAAAAAGTACCTGTAAAGCCATTTCTCAGAGGAAAAGGCTTAGATGGCTATTACATACTCCATAATTTGGAGTGACTCTTTTAAATGCAATAATTTTTTAAAAATAGCTTCAAAGAAACTTCAATTTTTTTATATCTTTTCTTTTTTTAACGATTACCACAAACACCCTTTGGGGGTCAGAATAGGATTGTTAAAATCCTACTTTTACCTCCAAAAAGGATACATGTATTATCTGTCTCCAGTGCTGAGCTTTTGAAGCTATTGTAGACCAGTAGTAAGCAACTTACCTTGTAGGTTATTTAAGTCACCGTTAGGGCAGTTCAGACCCTCGGGAACTAGAAATGCTGGTGAGACATTGCTTCCTGTTTTGTTTATGGTATTTCCCACAGTGTTGTGTCCCTTTGTTTTTTAAGAGAAGTTCTTTCTCTAAGGAATTTCTATCACAAAAGAATTTTAGCCTTTTTGTTTCTTGTCTGACAAATTGGTATGTGGTAACTTAACATTAAAAAGCTAACTGGTAGAATGAAAGATCTTTTTGCACTTTAGTGGACTAAAGACTTGACTTTGAGAGTAAGAATAAAAAAGCAACGAATTCTAAGAGTTCTAGGTAACACTACTTACAAGACTTGAATTTTTTAGTTAAAATCCATCTTCTATCTATAGAAACAAATTTTATTAATTTCAGTTTGAAATTTGAAATCTTATATAGCTAAGTCTAAGACTTGTGAAACTCTATGCATATTTTTTTCTAATTGATGGGAATAATAGTAAAAGTAATTTTACCTTTTTTCTTAGTCTTTTTGATGGCATCTCAGATAAATTATTAATCATTGGTAAACACATTAAATTTATTATACTTAATTTTTGAACCTAACCTAAATCATTTGAGTATTATGGGTAAACCTGTACAAAATACTATTTGGTTATTAATTAGATTTATACTGTTTTGTTATTGCAGTTGATTTAAAGCAACATAGAAACACACATTTCTGTTAGTGGTGGATATACATATATGTAGTCTTTAGACTAATAAGCCAGAGGTTCTTCCTTATGTTATACAATAAACAGCCATAAGAGTATGGGATCAGAGGGTGTCTATATATTTTTACCCTATGGGTTGATCATTCTAGCCTCGGGAGCGAAGAAGAATTAATTCCTATCATAGGGACTGGCTCAGTGAAACTGGTAGTGTAATAAAATATCGAAGGAGTTTCTAGAGTCTTAATAAGTCTTAGGAGGAGCTTTTAACTCTGGGGACTATCCCTTGATATTGGTGTCCCTTATAAAGGGTATATAACCTCTGGCGGTAATCTCTTTGAATTTATACTACTTGGCCTGCATTTAATTTTACTCTCAGGTATTAGTTTCCTGAGGTGGTCCTATGTTCTGTATTTCTTTTTCTTATTTTTTTTTATTGTACAGTTTCTTTACCTTCCAATTATAAATGTGTATATAAAATGTAAATACAAGAAATTCACTAAAAACCACTATTACAATTACTATGAAAATAAAACTTGTAAGCAGAATTATGACGAAATGAATCTTTATTATTTTGGTGCTATTAGGTTTAGACAACATCTAGAAAAAAAGGAATTGCTTTTCTTCTAGGGGGTCAGGTTTCTTCTCTAAGGGGTTTATGAGGTTGTCAGTACTTTGAGACTTTCAGAGAGCTGATGTACTGTACTGTATATTCTTTCCTTTTGGGCCACATAAACAGGCAATATGTAATTAATCACATGACACCACAGGCATTTATTTATTTATTTATTTATTTATTTATTTATTTATTTGGCCTAGAACTCACGATGCATACCACTCTGGGCAACTCACAAGAGATTAAAGGTGTGCTCATCTAGCTGGCAAAAAATGTATTAGGGATGGCTAGAGAGATGACTCAGTAGCTAGGAGCACTGTGAGTTCTTCCAGAGGACCCATGTTTGATTCCCACGGCCCCCATGGTGGCTCACAAGGTCTCTAACTCCAATTTGTTGGGTTCTAGGTGATCCAACACTCTCTCTTGACCTCCATGGGCTCTTCATGCACATGACACACTTACTTACAGGCAGGCAAAACACCTGTAGGGATATATTATTTATGATTAATTAAAGCTTGCCTGAGGATCCAGAAAGCAAATTCAGCCACAAGCCATAGAAGCCAGGCACACACCTTTAATCCCAACAGCCAAAAACTAGGAGGTGGTGGTTCACACTTTTAATCCTAGGACTCAGGATTAAGAGTTTAGATGGATCTCTGTGAATACAAGGCCACCCAAATCTACACATGAGTGAATCAGTCTAAAAGAGAATTATAGCTCACACTTTTAATCCCAACATTAGGGAGGTATATAAGACAGAAACCAGGTCTCAGAGAGGCATTTATTCTCCAGCCACAGTGAGCAGAGGCAGGAGTTTGAGACTTGGTGAAGAGCTCCTGCTTGGATCAGCCCTTTCAGCCTGAGCTAGAGGTGAGAGCTAGTGACCAGCTGATTTGCTTCCCTGATCTTCAGCTTGAACCCAGTATCTCTGTGTGGGTCATTTATTTATTCATGTTAGAAATACCCACGCACATAAGGTTTTTCCTTCCTTCCTTCCTTCCTTCCTTCCTTCCTTCCTTCCTTCCTTCCTTCCTTTCTTTCTTTCTTTCTTTCTTTCTTTCTTTCTTAAGTGTAGTTTGGGGGCTGACAATATGGTTTACTTGGTCAAGAGTGCTTATCTAATCCATACAAATTCCTGGGTTTAGTCCCTAGCACCACATAAGCCATGTGAGCTAGTGCACATCGCTGACCCCAACATTTCAGAGATGGGGTAGAAGGATCAGAATTTTAAGGTCAAAGCCAGTCAGCACTACATGATACCCTGTCTGTCACAGGTTCTGTAACCTCTATACACATACAGACTTACATACATGCACACAGTGGAACGCAAAATACATACCTACAAAGTAAATAAGTAAAAAAAAAAAAAATTACTAGAAACAACAGCAAAAAAACAAACTCAGGGTAAAGAGGCAGCTTTTTTCAATAAGTGGTGCTGGGAAAACTGGATATCGATATGGAGAAGAAAACTAGATCCCTATATCTTATCTTACATAAAAATCAGGCTGGGGCCCGGTGTTGGTGGCGCATGCCTTTCCTCCCAGCACTCAGGAGGCAGAGGCAGGTGGATCTCTGTGAGTTCAAGGCCAGCCTGGTCTACAGAGTGAGTTCCACGACAGCCTCCAAAGCCACAGAGAAACCCTGTCTCAAAAAAACAAAAACAAAAATCCAGCTGGCAAGATGGCTGAGCAGTTGAGAGTGCTGCTTTTACAGAGGACCGGGTTTGGTTTTCAGCACCCACATGGCAGCTTAAAGCTGTCTGTAACTCTAGTTCTAGGAGCTCCTGCACAGACATGGTTCATATGCATAATACACTCTGGAACGCGTGCATATAAGATAATATTTTTAAAATAATTTTAAAATGGAACAAAGGCCATAATTTTAAACCTAAAATACTGAAATTGCTAAGGGGAGAATACTTGAAGCTATAGGCAAGGTCTTTCCAAAAAGAATTCCAGTAGCACAGGAAATGATGTCAGCAATCAGTAAGGAAACCACTGACAGGAAAGAGAGTACAAAAATGGGAGAAATTTTAACCAGCTATGTCATTCAGCGAGGGATTATTAACATCGGCAAAGGACTCAAAAATCATGTAACAAAACAATACAATCAATAAATGTACTTACTACTGAATTGAGTAGACAGTTGTATTAATTAATTAATTAATTTATTTATTTATTTTGGTTTTTCAAGACAGGGTTTCTCTGTGTAGCTTTGGAGCCTATCCTGACGCTCACTCTGTAGACCAGGCTGGCCTCAAACTCACAGAGATCTGCCTGCCTCTGCCTCCCGAGTGCTGGGATTAAAGGCGTGCACCACCAACGCCCGGCCTAGACAGTTCTAAAATAAGAAATGCCCAGCCAACTATAGGAGTGCATACCTTTAATCCCAGTACTCAGGAGGCAAAATCAGGCAGATCTCTGTGAATTCTAGGACAGCGTGGTCTATGTAATAAGTTTCAAAACAGCCAGGGCTGCATACAGTGACCCTGTCTATAAACAAACAAAATATCAAATAAAATACTACTTTACTAAAAATATTCATCAAGTCTTAAATATTTTCTGGAGTCTATGCAGTCTTTAACTCTAGAATCATGGCACCTGAAAATAGATCCGCCAATGCCTTTCCTATTTATATGCTTTTTCTATCTTTTTAATAATTTATTTTTATTTTATGTGCATTGGTGTCTTGCCTGCATGTATGTCTGAGTGAGGATGTCAGATCTTGGAGTTACGGACAGTTATGAGCTGCCATGTGAGTGCTGGGAATTGAACCCAGGTCCTCTGGAAAAGCAGTCAGTGCCCTTAACCACCAAGCCATCTCTCCAGCCTGTACTTTCATATTTTTATTGCAGGTACACCTTGAAGCAGAGAGACTGGGCATCCTTGTCTCACCCCTGATTCTAGAGAAAATGCTTTCACTTTTTCCTCTATTATCAGTATTATTAGTCATCATGATCTGGCTTTGAGTTTGTTTTTCTCTCTGTACCTAAAATAAAATTTTCATGGACATAGTATAGGAATATTCTACCTAGAGTTAGAATAATTAAGACAATAGTCTGACCTAAAGAAGTGAAAGTAGCAGATGAGTAAAACAGCCTTTTAAACCAAACAAAATCCCACATATGTGATAATACTCTTTAACTAGACCAACACTATTTCTCTGTGTCTACACTCTTGTATTTTAAGAATGTTTTTATATGTGTGTGTGTTTTCACGTATCCAACTTCACTGCAAATTGAAGGCCAACATGGTCTATATGATGCATTCGAGGCCATCCAGGGTTATATATTAGACCCTGCTTCAACAAACAAATATTACAGAAGTCTTTGTCACTTCACATAACCAATGCAACCTATAAAAGACAGCATTTAATTTGGGGCTTATAGTTCAGAGGGTGAGTCCATGGTCACCATGGCAGTGAGCTTGGCAGCAGGCTGGCCAGCATGATGCTGGAGAGGTAGCTTATTGCATCTTGGCCTACAAGCATGAGACAGATAGGTGGGTGTTGAGGGATGGAGATACATGATAGATAGATGGATGGAAGAATGGATGGATGGATGGATGATAGGTAGATAAAGAGTGAGCTAGCTAACTGGGAGTGGCATAGGCTTTTAAAACCCTAAAGACTACCTCTAGTGACACCTCTGCTTTAACAAGGTGATCACTCCTAATCCTCCCCAAATAGTTCAACTGGGGACCAAGTGTTCAAACAAAGGGGTGTAAGAAGACACCCTAGCCCCGCCCAATAGTCCAGGGACAGGTACCAGGTGGAACCGGGACTCGCCCATAAGGGCGTGGTGAAGGAAAGCCAGGGTGACATAAGGGAAGCTTCTTAAAGGCTGCACGTGGAGACCTTAGCCCCTTCTTTCTGGCTGTGCTAGCTGGGTTCCTGTGACCTCGCTCTGGCCTGCGTCTTGCCCTGGTGCTTTCTTGAATAAAGAAATCTTACCATCACGGACTAATCCATCCTTGAGCGCACACTGCAACCATTAATTTTCATAGGGGGTTGGGGGAGTATCTTTCAGCCCATCTTCAGGTAACAATACAACTCATTTTGAGTCCTCTTTCCAACACAACTGTCATTTCTCCATGTACCAGATTTACTAGTGATGGGTAGAGACAAGAGGTTAGCCTTGTGAGAAATCAGGATTCCATAGTGTGCTGGTTAGTTTAAACTGTCAATTTAACACAACCTAGAATCACCTGGAAAGAATTTCAGTTAAGGAACTGCCTAGGTCAGATTGGCTTGTGGGCATGTCTGTAGGATTATTTTGTTAATATAGGAAGGCCCAGCCTATTTTGAGTGGCATCATTCCCTAGGCAGGGGCTTGTACTATAGAAGGCAGGAAAAACACAGATGAGAGCAAGCAAGCAAATGATGGATGGATGGATAGATAGATGATAGACAGACAAGCATCCATAAATATATGAATTTTTTTCTCTCTTTGCTGTGGACTGTGGCTATGTGACTAGATGCTTTAGTTCCTGTCTTGGATTCCCCAATATAATGGCCTGTGACCTAGAATTCCCTTCTCCTCTAAGTTGCTTTGGGTCTGGGTTATTTTTTTTTTCCCAGCAACAAATGAATTAGGGCACAGTTTAGTACTGAGAATGTGGTGTCACTTGACTGATCTGGTCATGTGAAATTTATGCCTTGTTTTTAAAGGAGATGTGATGTAAAAGCATTTGGAGTTTTGAGCTGGAGAAACTGTTGAATGCTAGAGGCAGAGTTTGGTGGTCTGTTCTTGTGAGGGTTTAGAGAACAGTAATGCTGAGAAGAATGGGGGCTATAGCAGCCTGGCCCATGAGATTTCAGGAGGGAGCAAGAACTCTATCAGGAGTTGGGCCAGGGGCCAGTCATGTAATACTTTGGTTACCAATTTGTATTATTTGATCATGCTGGGGCTGTGATTGTAAGAGACAACACCACTTATGT